AGCTGCACCTTGCATGGGGCTGAGCCCTAGCCGCTCATGCCTAAGGCAGCCCACACTGTGCTCCTGCCTGCACCTGTCCTATGCCCACCAACAGCACCAGGCTCTGGCTGCCTTCCACCCACTCAGCTGCCTATAAGTGGCTGCTCATCATGCTGGGTGGGCGGAATGGATGGAAGGTGGCCAGAAGCTGGAGCCAGAACTGAGTCCCATGCACTGGGGCAGAAGCCACCCAACTGCATCTTCCCCACCCCCACCTGGTTGGGCATGTGGTGCCTGGCATGCATCCCCATGGCTGCTACCACTTACGTGTGTTTCCTGCTGCCCAGAGCTATGCAGCAGGGGCAGAAGGAAGAACTACTGCTACAGGTGCAAGCTGAGCAGTCTCTGGGTGGCTGCAGCAGCAGCAGGCCCTCCAGGAAGCCATGCACACTGGCTGATGCCATGGCCGGGGTGGTATCAACTGGCACAGAGTTGGCCACCCCAGGCAGGAGCAAGTGGGGTTCAGCTCTATTCAGAGTGCTGCAGGGGCAGCTGCAGGCCAGATACAAATCAACTGGTGGGCTGGATTCAGCCCATGGGCCATATTTTGCCCACCCCTGTCATAAACAGTTTCAGTAATCTGTTACAGGTCTTAACTACCACGCTCAAACTTAAAAATATTAGGATATTCTTCCTAATATCCAACCTTAATCTTCATTATCCCCTTTTTCTTCATTTGTATGTTTTTGATTAACATACATTAGCAACATAGCGAGTTCCATAAATGGACTGCAAAATGGTAAGCTGAACATAGCAGTAGTACTTTCCTAATAGGACAGAGTACAGACTCCCAGAAAACCAGAGGCTGCTTATTTCAGGTCTCTAGATATCATATACCATACAAATCTGAAGTCAAAACACAAACTCAGGAAATTCCATAGACTTTTCATTAAACAGTAAAAGTTCTTAAAAGCATAGTTTACCTGCTCTCATGGAGCCCTTCTTGGCCAGCCGGAGGAGACCTTTCTTTTTAAGGATGAAACTCCCTCCGATGAAAATGCTGGAGCTCATAGCCAATACCAGACCAATGTAGAAGTCATATTTTCCACGACTTTGGCTCATTTCGTAAGCTACTGAACTGTTCAAACCATTACACTGATCATAAAACAGAAGAGTTGCTGCTATCGGACATAGGGTGACGCAACGAAGAAACCTAAACAGATACGTATCACAATAAGTTTCATACACCCCGTTTTCTGATAGAAAAGCCACAGTAGACAGCTCAACATATGATCAGTTCTGCCCCAAAGACTCTGCACTCTAAAGGCTGTAAACATATGCTGCATTTCTCCTGGGAGAAAGCCTTTTGTCCTTGGATCCTAAAGAGGATGGTGCTACTTGTCCCACTATGTGGGAAAGCCTACTGTGATTTATTAACTTAATTCATTCCAAGAAAAAGCTGCCAGGGTGTGCGCTCTCCCTAGCTACCTACTGGCAGAAGGGAAGCACTTCAGCTTAGAAGGGCTACATAGAAGGGCTACAGCTGTTTTGATCCCAATCAAAGTCTGGGATAATCAGTCCCAGGTCAAATGAGACTTCTGTTTACAGCCTAAAGGCTGACAGATTAGAAACAAAGTATATGGCATGCAAGTACACACCTAAAATGGGGGTGAGGTAATTAAAGAAAAGAAAAAAAAAAGAAAAAAGAAAAGAACAAAATGACTTAAATTTTTTAACTAAATGTAGAAGAAACCCACCAGATAAAAGTACTTAAAGTGCAAGTGTCAGCAGGGAAAGACAACTGAAGCAAAAGCATGACAAAAGCAGAACCACGTATTTGGAACATTTAATGTTTTAATTCCCTCATACCCCAGAACTGCACACAGTTCCATCTCATGCATAATGAATAATTAGTATTATATAATCAAAATTATTACCTATGTTAACATTAATTTATATGGGGTGGTTGAATTAGGACACCTGCAGCATCCCAACATCTGCACAGAAAAATGAAAAACAGGTTAGCATTTATTTCTCAAATCATGTAGTAATTCTGTATCTTGAGGCAAATAAGAATAAAGCCTTTAAGGTGCAATGTCAAAAAACTACAAAAATAAGTAGGAATTATCTTTACTGAGAAAAGCAGCCCTTACAAATATGTATGAAGCCTGAGGCTTAACAACAGAAGAGTTTATTACCGAAAAGCTTTCACCAAACCTTCGGACTGAGGTTGAAGTCTGATTACATGTGGGGAGATGCAGCAAGAACAACTGAGTCAGAATCTTGTGCTCCCTTATCTGTTATTTCTTCTAATCTATATTGCTTGTTTGATACATACTGCAATGCAAAATAAAAACATTTTGCATTTTAGTATGCATACACACAGTTTAAAAACTCTGAAATTTCTTACTTTTAGGTTTGATAGAAATAATTTTGTTTTGCTTTTAAAGAAGCAGTTGCTAAACCAAACACCACCTTGACAACACTATTACAAAATACCAGCCTCTGACTTTTTTACTATTCACTCCAGCCAGGAACAGCACACACCAACTACAGATGCTTCCTCAGCCCAACAAAGGGTATTTATACCCCAAAACTTGCAAAGAAAATTTTTTCCAGTTATTTGAGTTGGTCTAATACAAGATATCAGATTTACCCAAAGAACCTTGTCTGCCTAAGTCCCTAGATCAACACAGATACAGCCTATACCCCTCCAGATCAGTGGTACTTAACGTTTTGGTCCCATGGGCCACATAAATACCTCAAGGCTGGTCCACAAGCTGAATCGAGCCCCACATGCCAGGATCAGGCCCCTTGGGCCAAAAACTGTCCCCACCCTCCCCTCTGGGCTTGGGCTCTTGGGGGCCTGGCACTGCCCCCTCCCAACCCAGCCTGCCAGGAATTGGTCCCGAGGGGTCCGGCACCACCTCCTGATACTGGGATTGGTCTCAGAGGCTAGTATGAGGAGTGCTACTGTTCTACCACTGCCAAGTTTCCAGACCAATAGGCTACAGACCAGATATGGCCCATGGGTTGAGCACCCCTGCTTTACATAACACAGGATCAAGTTCCTATATCCTGGAACTACAGGGCAAATAAGATACTTACTCAATTACAAAATAATCCCCATGTAAATAGATTCCATATATGGAAAAAAAAAAGTATATATTTAGAAACTAAGTACTGGAGGTTTGCCCTGAATTTGTTCCCCTCACACTGCTAGAAGGAAAATAAAATTGGAGGTGGGCCCCCCACAGGTGTCCCTCTTGCCTTCTGCTACCCCCCAATTTCTTCCCCCTGCAGCCCTTTCCCCCTCCTCCTTATGGTCAGACCCTGCTCTCTGAGCATGTTAAAATGAGGGCAAATTTGAATACAATGACCTTGAAATAAACATATCTGTAATAACTTGGAAACAGGCAAATTACTACAGGCAGCCATAAACTTAGGTCATCCAGAAGTGATGCATTTTACCTTTTTGGAAACTGCTGCAAGTTTTATCACATGTACTCCATTAACACACTTTTAAGCAGCACTTTAGCAATTACTCATAGATAGTACAGAAGGATAGGGATGGGTGGTGGTGCATCAAGTGGTCCAGTTGCTGCCCTGGCAAAGGCAGGCAAGCCATGGAAATTCCAGGCTACTGGCAACTTAATAAAAGTCATGCCAGGCTTCTGTCACTTTCACACTCTACATACAGACTTCTTCTCTCCACTCAAGTTCCCCTAAACACTCCTCTCTCCAGAAATGCCACCCCCCCCCACAATGCAGTTGCGCTTGCACTCTCAATTCATCTGACATCCTGAGAAACTGAAGAAAAAAAATTTAAGTGTTTTTGTTTGGTTGTTTGTTTTTTGGAGTTTTGTTTGTTCCCCCCCCCCCC